TTTGATTTAAAAAAATTATTGCCTTGTCTACTTTAAGTCAGTTAGGGCTAATGATTTCGGTTAAAAAGGACGATGGGTCGCCTATTAAGTATGGGTTTATTTGGAAGCTCCTCAGATCTTATTTGTTTATTTTTAGAAATTGACACCTCTAAAAGTAAACAACTGAGAGCTTTACAAATTATTGCAGATAAAAAAAAACTACAAATTCCTTAATTCTTCATTGAATCAACATTAACAATGTTACCCTTGACACGATCTTTCTTCATTTTAAATGCCTTTATGTCGATAATTAAATTCTTTATTTTATATTGTCGAAAGTGGATTAAAAATCTGTTTTTAGCATTATATTGAGAAAGAGTGTGAATCAATCATGTAATTAATCGATAATACATTAACATTAAAGCACTAAAGTTGGTCGAACGACTTATAGAAAACTACATACTAAATAATTATCTATGAACTGTCCTAGATATTCGAAATCAAGTTGAATCGATTTAAATGTATTTTTTATTCAATACCTTTTTATAAAAATTAGGTACCTATTATAAACAACTTAATAACTAGCAATGGTATCCGAAGAGGTCCTATTTCTTTGATGTAGACCAAGTAGATAACATACTAGAATTTTTATTATTTATTTCAACAGTTTATTTAATTTATTTACACTAAAACACTAATTTATTAACCTATTTTTAAATTTATTTATTTATTTATTTATTTATACTCAAAACTACACAAATTTATATTAACAATATTAATCTGCTCATAGAGATATCTCAACTTGAACTAACTACAACGCTAAAACAGTATATTTATTCTATCTAATATTTTCTCAAAGGTTCTTTCACTGGAGACTGGACGGCTCCCTCCATCGATAATAACGAAACATAGGCGGATCAAGGGGGGTTTCGGAGGTGACTTTTTTAATTGAATATTCTTGGTAACGGGAAAATTGACCGTAAATAGAGAGACATTGCAAATTTCTATAACGTCAGCCACTAATAGTGACAACGTAATTAGAGGCAAATAAATTTCATGCTAAAATAAGACTTATTGAAAACCTGTAGAGGCATTAAAAATTAGCATTTTAGAAGGTTTAGATAAGGATGATAAGTCCCAATATTTGTTGTCCTTAAACATCCATAATAGAGAGTTATTGCAAGTTCACTTAAGGTCAGTCACTATTAGTGCCGCTCTTATTTTGACATCTGAGCATGCGCAGATCACTAACTTTAATAAAGATTGTGCCTGTCCTTAATAGAGAGATATTTCAAAATTCTGTAAAGCCAGCCACTAATAGTGACAACGTAATTAGAGTCAAATAAATTCTATAATAGTACCTAATATTAAAGAGGCATTAGAAATTATAATTTTAGATGGTTTAAATGACGAACGCATCCGAAAGCTATAAAGTCGTCACTACCTGCTGCCCTTAAACATCCACAATTAAGGACAGGCACAATCCTTAATAAAGTCAGTTTTAAAACATAAACATCTGCGCATGCTTAGATGTCAAAATAAGAGCGGCACTAATAGCGACTGACCCTAAGTGAACTTGCAATAACCCTCTTATTATGGACAGGCACAATCTTTATTAAAGTTAGTGATCTACGCATGCTCAGATGTCAAATTAAGAGCGGCACTAATAGTGACTGACCTTAAGTGAACTTGCAATAACTCTCTAATTAAGAACAGGCACAATCTATATTAAAGTGAGTTCTAGAATGTAAGTGATCTGCGCATGCTCAGATGTCAAAATAAGAGCGACACTAATAGTGACTGACCTTAAGTGTTCTTGCAATAACTCTCTAATAAATCCAAATAAGTCAGAGGAGGATTTAAAAATGCCTCGCATGACAACATATTTCCACAAATAATAATTTTTAGTCCGATCTAATGGGGGCTTGAGAGTCTGAGATAATTGCGTTATTTTCTCTCGATATTGTGTAATATTCAAAGAAAACAACTGAAGAAGAACTTTTTGACTATAATGACTCTGCTGGTGTCCTTTATTCACGGTCCATCATTACAACCCGTTGAAGGGTGATCACACAGGGGTTATAAACTTTGGAATAGTAAAATATCCGCCTACCTTCGATTAGAATATGAGAGCGTTCGGAAACATTTCTAGTAAGGGTGTAGTGGGTGTAGTCACTGTAAATAAATGTAGTCTGGTCTCTGACCCTTTAATTTAATTGATACCCGCTTGTCGTATAGGCTTTGGATTTCTTTTCTTTGCTCTTCAACAGGCAATGCATATATTAGACTTCCACTGTAATTTTAGATTAAAAAAAGATCTCTTTAATCTAAGCTTTGTACCTATGTCTCGTAACTTTATCTAATAATACCAAACAAAGAGAGCATACGTGAAAGATCATTCATTCTGAAATGTGACAAGATTTCATAAAAGAACTGGTCCGAATATGGGCCCTCTTTTTTATTTTTTGAAGTTTCTGACGTGCTTTGAGTAAAATCAGAATGTTTTGTAGTGAAAAATCTTGCAACATTAAGTAAGAGATTTTTAAAAATATTTTGCTTTATTCTAAAATAAATACATTTTACTAGACAAAATAGAAAAAAATTTATTTTTAGTAAGCCGGACCAGATATATACCAAAATCAAATTTTAAGCCAAAAAATAAATATTTGCACAGAAAAAACATTAAAAAAGTGCTTTGTTGGGGTTCTGGTTCCAGTTCACAATTAGAAGAATTGTTGAAGTTACTGGCCAATTCAGTTAAATCCGTTTTATCTGTAATATGGCTGCAGCGTTTCTCTGCTTTGTTTGCTTCAGGTTTTTCTTACGTTTTTGCACACATATTTTCTATTTTTGGATAATCCAGGCATTTTTACCAGTAAAAAAAGGAAAAGTAACCTGATCCTAATATGGCCCCTGACCAATATTTAAGACCCGTGAAGAGGCCCATATTTTAACATGGCCGGGATATACATAATAAAAATGAGGTTGTAACTCTAATATCCTTAAATAGAGAACCACTAAATAGTAAATACTAAAAAATTAAGAAAAGTAATATAAGGTAATGACAAATTGTTTAACAGTTTTCCAGTTATTCGAAAAAATCAATTTTCAATATGTAACTTCAAAAGGATATAGATAGCTATTTTATAATGTCTATCCCATTTTGACTCTATGATATCTGGTTTAATTATTGACCTACCTTTTTGTTATACCCTGTATAATAGAAAGCGTAATTAATATAGAAAATCGAGAACACATTTACACATAGAGATATGCTTATTGTAGTTGATTGAGAGTTGTTTTCTTTAAATTCCTTTCCACGATATCGACTAATAATTTTCATTTCCCACAAGTTCCAATATAAATGATCTGAGGCCTTTTGATCTACAAATGGCTTTATTTAAAACTGTTTTTCTCTATTTTTTGATCTCAAAAACTGTCAAACACATAAACAGGTTTTCGTAAACAATTTCCATCGTATACCTTGTATTTGAAATAAAAAAATTGCGATAATATACCTCAGGAAAACAATAATAATCTGTTTCTCATATAAATAAAATAATTAAGGTCTCTCACATGTTCCCATAATTAGGTTATTGCGTAAACATCGTAGTGACATTGTCGGTGACAATAAAATGGGAGATTACGGTTTGGTAATTCAGCTAATAAATTCTACCTAAATACGGAAGAAATTGCCAAAAATTATTCAATTATTGTTGATTCACCTTGACTTCAACAACAATAAACAGACTACCAAATAACATCCTAGATTTGTAATACTACGAGGGATATGCTAATATTTTTTAGGTATAAGATTCGGACATTTAAGAGCGGACCTTACAATATGTTAACTTTTTAATTCTGACGTCATAGAAACACAATGCTATTAAATAGAGAGAAATATAATAATACAGGGTTATCGTTTTCCCTGTAAATAGTTGGTAACAGGTTTGCTTCACCTCGACAGCAGCGCGCTAAACGCGTTATGATAAATTATAATTCGGTACAGTCGGTAAAGTAGAACACTACTAAGTAAAGCGATTTAAAAAATGGCAGGCATCAAAATTTATAAAATTTGAAGCAATTTCAAGTAACATTTTCCTATTTTACAGGTCTTTTACTTGACAATCAATAAGTAAAATGAATTTGTATTGTAAGTAAATGCTGAAAAACTGAAAATGTCACTTGTTTTAAATGAAAAATAAAAAACATTCGTAATAAGTTTAGTTTATTTAGAATAGGTAACTATATGTCATTACATTATATATTTGACAGCACATATTTACAATATAAGCACTATAATCATTTTCACACACTAAATTATTGGAGCATAAAAATGTAAGATAACAATATGACAATTATTTTATTATTAAGGAAAACTGGGTCCAATTTAAATAAAATATGCATTGAATTTTATCAACAATAATGGGTACATATTTAAAACATTAAAGTTAAACCGACAATTCTAAAAATCAATATGGTTCTAAGTTGGAAAAATTTTTATTCATCCAGTGAGAAATAGGTAGGTATACATTTTTTTTCTGAACTGGTATCAAAATAGTATTAAATAAATAGTGGAATTGCCTAACTGTTAGGGTTATATGATAAATAAAATTTATTTAAAACAAATATAAACAGTAATACAATCATATTTTTATATTTTTCCAAAAATAAAAAAAAAAGATTAAAACGCCCTTATTAGGATTTTAACTCGGATTGCAAAAACAGAAGGTAGGTAAGTGCGCTAGCCACTGGGCCAACACGTGGTTATGTTAATTTATTTTTCTAATGACCCTTGTATTTTCTACAACAGCCTTTTTAAGACGTCTTTGACGACATTGCGAGGACGGCAGCAAAGTAGGTATAACTCCTACAGTAAAAATTTAATCTGTACCTAGTGTGCGATGTAAGTGAGGTCGTACACCAAGCAAACATCAAACATGCAACGTGCGACATGAAGTAAATATCGTATGTTGCTGTTGCTAAACATCGTAGACACAGATGGAAAAATTTAAGCACTTGCAGTATTCAATATGTCGTCAAGCGAGGAGGATGTGGTTGTAGCTTGGCAATTTTTGCGAAATCGACGTAAACGTAAAAGAATGCGTCGATACTGGATTCATCCATTATTTGTTCATAATCTAGAGCACAACCCAGTAACTCTTGCACAGCAACAACTAGCTCTCAATCCGGAAAAATTTAAAGAATTTTATAGAATGAATCAGCAAAGTTTTAAAGTATTACTGGAACTTACAGGACCAAGAATAGAAAAATTGCATATAAACTATCGATTAATCTGTAATTCCAAATGCAAGGATGCTATTCGATCAATTTTACAAAATTACCAGTTACACTTTTAGGTGCGTTGTGTGCGCAAGGCAAATGCAAAATTAAGAACATATTTTTCGTTCATTCTTACCTTGTACAATATGGAAATATATCTACCGATTAAGCAGAAAACAAATTGAATAAGTTAGATTCTAAGGTTTTTACAGTATTTAAAATTAATATATCCAGAATCCTTAAACTGCTCCGAGCAAAACACTCTTTTTCGGATACCTTCATTTTCTTCAAGCCCTACAAGTCCAAATATTTCTTGTATGCCTATCAGTTGGGAATCTAAAAATCAAGCATAAGCATATTTATTTTACTACTAAAGTCCAAACTAAAGTGTTTCCATTAATAACAATTTTTTGCGAAATTAACGTTGAAATATCTCAAGAAAATAAATAATAGTAAAACAAAGGTAGATAATACATGTGATATTAAGACAAAAATCTTTAAATCTACACCACTGAATAATGCAATACATCACCTAACCTTACTTATTCATGAAATGTCACTTTAGCACTCACATTATCCAGTTTTTGCACAAAATGCACTCGCAAACCATGTTGTTAGCTATACACTAAAACTATAAGCTGACTTTTATCCAAAAAAGTATAAAAATCAACGAAAACTCCCGAAATGGAACAATTTACTGGATGGCAACGTCGCAAACTATCAATCAATAAAAACTATACGTGACGTATAGTAAGAATGAAACAAGGTTATTTTGAATTGCGGTGTTGTCACGTTTAACGCTTTTAAAATCAATGCATTTATTTGCAGGCCTATTAATGGTGTTTGCCATAGTTTAACTTAGTATTTGCAAAGTTGATAGGTACAAAAATGCCCTGCATAATTGTCTAAAAATAGGTGCTGCTAAAATATCAAGTCTACTGAAAGCAATTGAAATAGCTTAATGTACTTTGTACACATTTTATAAGTTTTTTGTTTTGTTACAAGTCATGTTATTTATTTAGGGACTTACTATTAGAAATGTTTCGGGAAATAGATTCTTTTCTTTTTGTTTAGTAGCTATTGACGAGCTTTATTTTGGAAATAGTATTTTTGTTCCTGCCTTCAATATATGAAATCTATTTATCTACAATAATTATTATGATTGACTAATAAAAATAGCAAAAACTGTCCAATTTTCCCCTCCCTAGTTCTCCTCCCACATCATATCGATATATAGAACGCTAAACTTAGGAAAATTAACTTCGGGTATGATGAATTGGATTTTAAGACGAAAAAAATTTAACCCTCACCTCCTACCTCTCTTCCTTCCATATGAAAAAAAGTTAATTTTTTCGAAATTAGACCCACGCACACCTTTGGGTTCTGGAAATTTTTGATCCACCTTACTACTCCCTCCACCCACGGTTCTATAGAGAACCAAAATGTAAGACGTATATAATCCGATTTTCGTTAATATCTTCCCCCACAAAAAAAGTTGATAAATTTTATCATGGATATTAATGATAAAACGGTATTATATTGTCTGGACGTTTTTGGAAGGGACCATTATAATCTTCTGAAGGGCAAGTCACTTTGCCCCCCCCCCCTATGTGCACCAAGGGGCGAACATTTTTTATTTTCATAATTCCTTGTATTTTGAGATATGTGTTGTATATATAATTAAAAAAGGGTTTTTAAATTGATAAACGTAACATTTTAGTTTTAATACTCGTAATTAAATTAATTTCATATAGTTCTATTAAAATTTGAGCACGACGCCGTAGGCGAGGTGGACAATCCACTCGAGTTGTACAGTATAATTTTTCTACGACCCACTAACGGAAATTTATCATTTAAAAAAATATTTTAGGTTATTAAAACAAAATAACTAATTTTAAAATAATTTATGAATTTTACTGATTTTTAAAATAAAATAAATATGAAAAAAAAAAATAGTCGGCAGTCGAGAATCGATCCCCGGCTTTTCACGTGGAAGTTAAGTACTCTGTCCATGTCTCTATGGCCACTTTTACGATTTTGGTTTTAATACTCGTAATTAAAATAGTTTCATATCCTAGTTTGAATAAAATTTAATTTTTGTTTCAAATAAAAACTATTATTTACGATTACTTATCGATTCTACACAAATATCTCATTTTAATGTATATTTAATCTTAATAATTAAAAAATATACTGTCAATTAGTTTGACAGGATTGTCACTTATTTAAAATTTTAAAAATAGTAGTAGTTGGTTGTCCAAAATATGAACTGTGATTGGTGGATTTCATTTTTTTGCACTACCTAGAATGGGTATGAAATATATTCGTTCAGTTGAACGCAATGACATACTTTTTCGTTTTGTAGTCTGTTTGTAGATAAGCTAATATCCATGTGGGTGTAGAAAAATGTTATTATTGATCGATTCTACACAAAAATAACTCATTTTAATGTATAGTTAATCTCGATAACTAAAAAATATACTGACAATTAGTTTGACAGAATTGTCACTTATAAAAATTTAAAAATAATAGTAGTTGGGTGTCCAAAATATGAACTGTGATTGGCGAATTTCATTTTTTTGCAGTGTTCTCACTACCCACAATGAATATGAAATATATTCGTTCATTTGAAGGCAATAGCATTTTCGTTTTGTAGTCTGTGCGTAGATAAGTTAATATTCATGTGGCTGTAGAAAAAAAAACAGCTTAGAAAAAATAACTATTTCATATTTTTCATTCGATGCGCATGGCTTTAGGTGCATCATAAATTTAATTAATGTAACTATCAAAATGAATAATCATTCATTCGCGATATATTTAAATGACCCATATGCATCGTGATCTCAATTATGGTAATATTAGCAGGTATGAGAAAATCATTAAATATTAAAAACAGGAACTATAATGATTTTTACATAAAAAATGACATTGAAAATAACTCGTCAAACACGTAGTTTTACCGGGCGTATACGAAAATTAGTAATTAGCAATCTAATAAAAACATTGTGTATCAATAAATATTTTTATGTAAATTGTAACTAAGTGAATTCTTATTCAGATTGAAAAACAATAAATAAGAGACTAAAAGCAGGACTTTTGTCACTGCTAATGAGTTACCCGCAATTTATAGTATAGATTATATATGGATTAAAATAATTATTAGTAATATTCACTTATAAATTAAGTTGTTTTCCTAACATAATATGCATAAGGATATTGCAACATTAAGTCGTAGATATAAAATTATTTACTCCTACACATAATTAGTACCGTAACTTGGAGTAAATATTGCGCCCTTGTTTACCATTAAAATAATAAAAATTAAAACATATCATTATCGATCCTTTCTATAGAGATTAGAGATACAAGACAAAATAATTCATTTAAAAAAATATTTAGTATTTTTTTTAATCGCTAAATGTTGTAGGAATTAGACCCTATGGGTGGGTCGAATCCGAACAAAGCTTTAATCGACATAGAATTATAATTTTAGATCCAAAAAAGCGTAAATTCGAACAATAAGTAGAAAAAGGTACTATATTTTTATTAAAAAATGCTTTATTTAGAATAAAACAAGAAATGTTTACATTTATTTTAATATATAACTTTATTGAGAAAGCAAAATAAACTTAAAATACTGGAATCTAAGTCCTAAGGTTCGAAAGTCCTTTGGTGCAAGCAGTCTCCTAACTAAAGATAAAATAGAGTACATACATGTCCTCCTTAAAGCGGTTTAAACTCTTTTATCCTGGGCATCGAGGTACAGCTTCACCATCTTGTAAGAGGAAAACGCCATTTGGCAGCCATTTCAATTTCAGAACAAATACTTAGCTTAATGGTGTAAGACCTCTAGGACGTAAGGGATGTTTTTCCTAATTGTATCACCAAGTGTTGCTATGGGAACATAGTATTCCTTATAAACACGCCTGTAAGTCTTCCTATTTTCTCGTACACTTTTTCCAGCTTGAATTCTGTATAGTTTCCATAATGTTTGGCGCCTAGTCGCTTCTTATAAATTTGTTCATTTGGTGAGAATAAATGCATTTTTTTTTAAATACCTTCATTTAAATGATATAAAAACATTTTTATTCCATCAGTCTTTAAATATAAAATTATTGACTGCAAATAAATCAAAGTACGACTCTAACTCTTCATTTTGATTACACTTTTTCTTCAGTCTTGGCATCGCTAAGTGCGTCCATCTGTCATGTCACAAAATAGTGTTCATGTCGTCTTTACTTCATTCTATCTCAATGGTCGAAAGTCATAGCGAAAACATAAAATATCACAAATCCAGGGGGGACAGATGACGCCCCTAGTCCTCTTGTGGCGGCGTCCATGCATTCGACTGAACTGGATAGATCCAATTTCGCTCGAGGAAAACTTCAAGGGGGGGGGGGGGGTGTTCGAATTTAGCAGGCGTGTTCGAATTCACCCCAAGACCCAAATTACGGTCTATTGTTGATATTTTTGAAACAATATTATACACTCGTATGTGGGATATCTTAGATTTTCTGTTTCACTATCCAAATACTAATTTTGACTATAATTTTAAGTTTGTATTAGTGTTGGGAACTTATAAAATTATTGGTTTTTGAGATATTCACACTTAAAGGTGGCTAGTCTTAATTTTCATTTTTTATTTTGAAAATTTTACAAATAATATGTATTCCATTATGAAATAATATAGCCATTAACAATTTTTCAATTTTTAAGTTCAACGCTCAGTATTTCGGAAACGAGTAACATTTTAACTAAGTATTTTTCGTTAAATCGTCTCATTTTGAATCAGGAAAGCTTCAGCTATTGTCTTTGCATATATTTTATTTAAATTATAGGCTTATTCCTTTATAATTAATGGCGTGCGCACGTCATTGACTATCAGTTTTAGTCGGTTTGCTTTGCTATGTCACCCATCGAATAATAGTTAAACCGTTTTGTTTTTAGGGCAGAACGTTTTCTGGACTAATTCACAGTTTTCTAAAGGGAAATAAAACAGTAGACGAAGAATTGGTACCAGCTTACAATACTCCAGAAGGAAGACGAGCATATGATGACACCCTAAACTCCGTCAAAGCTAATTTTCCTCAATATGTAAGAGAACTGGAGGGGACGGCAGATGGAGCAAATGTGCCGTTTTATAAAGTAAGGAAAACTTTTCTTTCTCACACTTTGAACTACCCACGTTGTCACTATTTGTAGTCTTAATGCAGACTCATTTAATCTACCGTTACTAATGCCACATAATATGCCAATTGGTTAAAACCAAAAATTAGTCCGATGTATCTGTAACGGCACTTAAGCCTCACTAGGCCAATTGTGCATCCTCCTAAATTGATAGCTAGCCTACAGAGATTATGTAGTTGACAACATCGAACACAAATCTTCTAATATATGAAAGTGTCAGGCAATCGTAGAGGATATAGTCTCATCTTCTTCTTCGCACCTTCTACAGAAAGCGAATTTAGACAGCCCCAAGCTATGGAGATGCTATCCTACTATGCAATGGCCAGCTTGAATGATTGTGATCAGGCGCAGATTCTGTCTAACCATAGTCAAGTAATTGTTTGCTGTAGTGTTGTCAGGGTAACTTAAAAGCTCTCTGACAACTCTGCGGTTTCTTGTTTTAACCCTTCTTCCCTTTAATTTCACAAGAAAATGCCCTTTAATTAGGTTGTTCACGACCGATGTCCAGTCCATTAGAAGGGCCAGATCTAGAAAATATTTGGTTGGCTGCCTTCTTGGCATACCTTGTTGATGGATACTTCGGCAAAAGCTTCGTGACATTCTAGTACCAGCCCTGACCAACGTGGTCTGTCAAGAGCGAGTAGGGCTTGTCTTCTATCTGTATAGATGGCCATGTTCTTTTCAGTGATATTGTTACCTGTAATTTCTTTTGCTGCTCTGAGAATTCCCTATGTTTATCTTAGTTTTTTGAATGTCGCTCCTATTAACTCTAGTTTTTAACTATCTTTGGAATACCACGGATAAACCAGACAACTAGATCAGTCTTGTCATTCTTTTTCTTTTTTCTAACTGCGAATATACTCGTTTTAAGTAATCCATCTGCATAATGGTTAAATCTACCTTTAGCTTAACATTCTGAAGTAGATATTTTCTGTTTTTCAAACACATTGTTTAATTGGTTGTGGTCTTGACCTGGCTGCCCTAAACGTATAGATTTAAGATATATCTGTAAAAAATAATCTACCAATTCTCTTAATTTTCAGCTATTTTTATTACACATGGACGATATAATGCCATCACCATCTCAACTACAATCACCAAATATTCAACCTGTTGGGTGTTCGTCAATTTGTGTAAATCAAAATAACCAGGTGAGCCTGAATAAAAAACTTTTGTTATACTACTTCCTACTTGATACAAATTAATTTTTTAGGAAATAATGGGCCACACTGAAGACGCATTAGCAGAAACCTTAAATCACATTTACTTCGTTTCTGCGCATATTATTTCTGAAAAACCTGAAGGAAAATGGAAGGCAAAAGAGGAACGATTTACATCGTTGTGCTATGCTGGACATTTACCGGGATATACTATGAGTTATAATCACCACGGATTTATATTTTCCATAAATACATTGAGCGTTAAACATACAAAGCCTGGAAAAACACGTAAGTTACTCGAAATGGCTCATCTACCCCTGCCCATCTTGTTAAGATGATTATTCTCCGATAAGAAGTCCCAATGATTTGTCTGAGCTCGATCTTACTAAGTTAGGATAGTTGTCTGAGCTCGATCTTACTAAGTTAGGATAGTTGTTTAGTCAGGAAGTGACTCTTTTGAAATCTTTCCCATTGAGGAATCTCGAACATTATGTGGTTCTTAGTTATACCACTTATATGCTAGTCGTAAATTGTGATTGAGATACGATAAGATCTGGCAAACTGTGATAAACCAAGGCTTATCGATGTGAAAGTTTAATTGGTGGTGTTGTCACATGACGAACTTCATTTTTGTGATTGATTTTAGGTTTAGTCGTTGTCGCTAAGGCCGCTAAGGGACCTTATTGCTAAGGTATTGGCTTCATGACACCCTAAATCTTATACTGTTATTTTGTACTGTTTGATCCGTTTTTACTAAACTTAGAATTTGATACATTGGAAAGCTTTCAAATGGCATTTTTATATACATGGTTGGTCGAAAAAGGTTATATTTATGCGGAGTTGGCCAGAAAGTAAATTATATTTATTAATATTAAAAGGAGGACTTTCGAGAGGAGGTACCTACTCGTAAAAAATCAAGTAACGAGTACGAGTATTTTAAATAACATTCTAGTTAGTGACTAAAAATGTTATAAATATGTCTTATATCTTTGTATTCTTCGTTAGTTCATTCTAATTTAAATTTATACTTTTCCAATATTTGTCTGAATCCCTTTGAAAGTCTGGTGGTTGAACTACTAAAAAATGAAAAAAAGAAATCGGAATCTCCGACACCACAAAAGAGAAGAAATATTTGCAATGGGGCAGAAATTATAACAACATCAGACTACTTACAGAAAAAGAAACTAGAAGAGAAAAATAAAAAACTGGAAGAGGAGAAGAAGAAAGCCCGAGCAGAAACAAAGTCTAAGAAAATAGCTTAAAAAGTGAACTCTATCCAAAACATAGATCATGGAAATGTATCCTGGAAAAGTGTTGGAAGTAAAAGACACAGAAATCATCATATCTCACATGGTAAAAAGTGGGGTGTTTGTTTGCTTGGCGTTGGCCTGAAAAGCCCGATATCTTAGCATATGACGAAATAGATATAGTAAAAGTTATCCATGGGCCATAACAAAATAATAATAGGGGATCATATATGGTACCTGAAATGAAAAAATATCATTAAGTACTTTACATAAGTTCATACACCACTTTAGTTTAGTTGTTTCATTTGTTGTTTAAGTACTTATTTTGAATAAAGCGTTTTTTCTTCAATAATTTTTAACATCTTCATTTTCTCGGCTATTTTTTTAAGATAAATTAATGAAATTTTAAACGAGTATTTGTGATGCTTTACGAAACGTTCCAGTTACCTCAAAGTTTTCTACATTGTACAAATACAGAATTACACTACCTAGTTCCAGTTACCACAAATTCCTGGGTAACTGGAATCTACTGACAAAAAAAATAAAAAATTCCCTTGAAGCTCAGAAAAACATTTTTGTTTTTAAGCCGTTATTGCAGTTGATTTACAGAAATCTAAATTGCATACCCATAAAATTTGGACCAATTTTCTTTGCAGGTTCGTCTCGTACATAGTTGCAAATTTAAGTGTTGTAAAATTAGGTTCCAGTTAACCAACTTGATCTAACGCCCAACTTTTTCATTTTTATGTTAAAGTAAATTAATAGAGGTACTAGGTAGGGGTACATAGGTACAGATAGAGACTACTCAAAAGAACAGTCATATATGTTAAAACGTATATACACGCGTATATGATCATCATTCCATCCTGTCGATAAGTTCTTCGGAATAGCCTTAGGGTTGTGACGCCGATGGCAGTGGGATTTTGAAAATTAATAGAATTATCAGATAGATTTTGGGAAAATTGTCAGAGGGAATTAGAATTGCAGTTAGGATATAACTTACTTTTTTTAGCAAGAATGTTCATTACCAGAGCCCTTCTGGGAGCGGAAAATTTCGTAAATGCCCAAGAAATTATGAGAGATCGTGGCTGCGGTGCTGGAAATGGATGTTCCATTAATATGACATTTTTAAATCAAGAGGGAGATAGACTGTTCCACAACGCAGAAATGGCTCCATCGGATAAGGAAGAGTCTCAACTAAACGTTTTTACAGCTAGTCCTGGAGAATGTATTATACATACAAATAAGTAAGCATTCGTTCAACGTCTCAGAATAAACCATCCATTTTACGATACTGTAGTAATTTGGTTTTTCCAGATATCTCCGAATCAACATTGAAGAAACCAACGCAGAAATGCAGAAAAGTAGTATAAATCGCATGGCCACTTTTAAAAATAATTATTCTGCTCCGAAGAGTAAAAACGATGTGATAAAAATGTTGAGCGATCATTCTAACGTTGCGTATCCGGTATTTAGGGATATACCAGATGATTTCGTCAAAACTGTAGCAGTTGGTAAGAAATATATCCTTATTAAAAAGTTTAATGTTCAAATTATTCTCGAAAATCTCAAAAAAGCACAATAAAACTTAAGCTGTCACTTGACGCCGTCAACGAAATATTTTAGGTTGCCAAGCTTAGTCAGTTAAAGGTTATGGAACAGAATGTTCAATACGATATACGTCTGAAAGACGATAAATAAAAATCTTGATTGAATGTAATGAATAAAAAACTCGTATTGATGCTTTCAATTCTTTATTTTTCTTCTTTTATTAGATTATATTAAAGGGAATAGTACATTTTTTAATAAATTGAATGTAGGATATTTGATGAAAGAGACAAATTCATTGTAAATGTAAACAATGTGTATATATTCTATCCAAAATCTTTGTAATTTCCTTAGTATCCTAGGGGAAATTGGGGTTTATGTTTTCACATTTCTATAAATTAAATATACTTTTCACTATTAAATATTTATTTAAACATTTTTTAGGTATTTTTGACTGCAAAGCCAAGACCTGGAGCCTTTATTCTGACAATCCACAAACAAACGAACCATTGGTAGTGCTGCCATTAGTACTTAAACAAGCTAAACAGTAAAATGTAATAACATTTACAAATAATGATGATATAAATAGGTACCTATATCAAATACACACTTGACATTTTTAAAGTCTACTGACTGTTTAACAAGAATTATAAATTTGAAAGTACCTATGTAACAGCTTGCTTAAAAATTTTTATATAGACATATCAAAGCTATATATTGTGCATTTCTTTCATTGCATTTAAAATAAACATGTTAATATTGAGACATCTGTATATCTTTTTTGTGAAACAAAGTATGTCATTATATTATATAAAAACACATAAACTGTATTATTTTATTAGACATTTTAGACTGTTAAAAATTATTATTATTATTATTTTTGCTACGATCATACTGTATTTTGAGAAAAATGGTATAAATGCCAAATATGTTCCGATTGTAAAAAAATATAAAGTTCCATTACCCTTTTCCAGTATTGATAACACAAATAACTGCATTAATAGAAGTAGGTATATTTGGTCAGATTTGTCTCTGTTATTGTATTTTTTTACAATGGAATAAGGTACGGAAATTTAAATTTTTAATGTATTGAACCCGATATAATGCTAAACATGAACATGATACATACATACACCGCTCTCGGTGGTCTGCCATGTCTAGTGGGACGAGCAGATGAGGAAATCGCGCGTCAATATTTGCTGAGAGCGGTCTCTTGTGTTCCTATTAATACTTTGTTTAATTCATTGTAAGGTATGTCGCGTGAGGTTTTTAAATTTCCGTACATACAGTGTGTCGCATTTAAGATGAAGACACCCCTATATTTTATCTATCTAAATAAATATAGATTTGAAGTTTCGCACAGTAATACAGGGTGATGGTTCATATTTTTTAAGATACTCAACTGAAATTTAAATATTAAACGCGGCCTACTGCGAATCCACAAACAGGGTCAATTTTCGATATTTTTCTTCCCGTTGGAGATATCAGAAAAAGTTATTTGAAAAAGTTGTTCAGAATATTATTCTTACCTCACATACCAAATTTCGTGACAAAATTCGTATTTTTAGTTTTTTCATTATTTTTTGACAATACACAAAATTATTAAATGTTGATTTTTTTTATTCGATAAACTAGTGTGCCATGGATAGGAATAATTTGATACTTGTGAAATCATTAATGTCAATCATGGCACACTAGTTTATCGAATAAAAAAAATCAACTTTTAATAATTTTTTGTGTATTGACCAAACTAACAAAAAAACTAAAAATGCGAATTTTGTCATGAAATTTGGTATGTGGGGTTAGAATAATATTCGGAACAACTTTTTCAAATAACTTTTTTTGATAACTCTAACGCGAAGAAAAATATCGAAAATTGACCCTGTTTGTAGATTCGCAGTAGGCCGCGTTTAAAATTTAAATTTCAGTTGAGTGTCTTGAAAAATGTGAACCCTCACCCTGTATGACTGTACAAAATTTCAAATCTGTATTTATTTAGATAGCCAAAATATAGGGGTGTCTTCATATTAAATGCGACACACTGTATATAAATATTTAAATTTATTCCATATTTGTTCTTACCTATTGTCATTAAATTGTTCTCAATAATTATTACTTAGGTAAAAATAGTTTAAAATATCTTGTTCAAGTTTCTATTTTATGTACCTCAAACTATGGATTGTTATAATAATGAAAAAAATTAATTGCTTTTCTTATGAACCATTTCAATAAATATTATATTTACAATAGTTTTATTTTATCCTATTTTTGTTAAACAATATATATTTCCATCCTATTGTGAGTGACTCTGAGAAAGCATGCTGTATGTGAGGGAGGGAAGCACATTTTATTATTGGTCATTGCGCTTTGAGACGACTTATAATATGATCGATGGTGCTATATATTTGACCTAAAGGTAATGAAAACCTATGAACTAGTCTTCATAGGAAAACCCCACCCATCGTCATCGACACGATACCTTACTGGGATTAAAATATCGATGACGTATCAATCAGAGATAAGGGACATAAAGATAGGAAACGCTCATAAGAAGCACATGCTTAACAACGACCAGCTTAAACGCAGTTAACATCTGACCCACTATGTGGCGCTTTCATCGATATCAAATAAATAACGCAGCGGGAAATTTAAAAACCTGATAATAAAGGTTGTTTAAATATCGATTGCACTTTGATATTCTGGTAAATAAATTTAAACAATGTTAATTACGGTAAATTATTTATTAAAAAGAATACTATACTAACAGTCTATTATTGATTAATTATTGTAAATATATTAATGGAAAATATTTTTTTTAATTTTTGATTATTTGTAACTTTAATATAACATTTTTATTCTTATTTTCCAAACAAAATAATAAATAAATACTTTGTGACAAAAGTTGGCTCCTGTTTATGTTACTTACATGGCTTGGTCACAGATTGTGGGCTTGGTTAGTAATACAATACGTGCTCCTCAGTGTTATATTACAAAATATAATTAACGTCCTCAAATTCCACGCAAAAACAACCACAACCATTTCGTTTAGTTCACCTTACAATAACCATTGTTAAACTTAAAATTTAAATTCAGTATTCTACGATATACATTCAACTAATTGACATTTATTTTTACAAACTGTCAACTGCTGTCCACGTCTACTGTCCATCTACAAACGAAGTTATGATCGATGACCCCGCCTTTTACAGCAAAACGGTAGTGTAAATTAACCTCTGTGAACTCTGTGATTTGCTGACTCTATTTTTTTTCCCTAGCAACATTTTAATAAAATAAAGGTAGTCTGATTTCATAACTTGTAACGATAACATTAAATACCTACTAAATATAATTTGTTGTTGAATTTACAAGAAAAATGAACCTTCAAGGAATGAAGGGGCTTCATATGTGGGGACAACATCTAAAAATGGCAAAAGAGGTTAAATATTTTGGAATCACTCTTGATGACAAGCTTAGCTTCTGCAGCCATATAGAAACAACAACAAAAAAAGCTGTAAGAATATACTATGGGCCTGTAGAAGGATGGTAGGGAACATATGGGGGCTTAAACCAAGTATGATGCACTGGCTTTACACTATGGTTGTAGTATCTGTTATAACTTACTCATCAGTCACATGGTGACACAAGACTAAAAGTATAATAGTTAACAGAAGATTAGACAAGGTGCAAAGACTAGCCTATCTAATAACAACAGTGGCATTTAGAACTACGCCCACAGCAGCAATGAAGTTACTGCTAGGTCTTCCTCCACTACACCTTGTGGTGGAGAAGGAGACTATGGCGGCGGCATACAGGCTGTTTACTAATGGATTTGGATGGAAACTTTCGAGAAAAGAACACCACACAATGATATAAAGACCGATTCCACCGTTGTGTTAAACGAAGTTTAAAATGACATTTTTACATTAACAATGTCATTTTAATCTCCGTTTAACACAACGGTGGAATCGACCCTTAGAGAAATTAAAACAAAATCCGGTACTAAGAATGCAATCGGAGAGAACGCCCATTATTCACGACTTCAGGAAACCTTTCGATATTCAACTACCGGAAAGGGCCAAAAGCCGGAAAAATAGGGAAAAACAAAACGAATTAATCTGGTATACAGAAGGTTCGAAAATGACAAACAGCACAGGAGCTGGGATCTACCATGTGAACTCAGGGAGGACAATTAGTCTGAACCTGGGGTCACTGACAGTCTTCCAGGCTGCGGAAAAAACTCTTATTGGCCGAGAACCCACATGTGGTATCTCATACTGTTAAATGGGTGTTAAAGGAACAAATAAATAGAGAACACCATAGGCTCTGGTTGGAACTTCCTGGACTTAAAGATTCATAGAGGGGCCATCCACGAGCAGACAAAATCACCTGCTAAACCTTAGCAGAAGCGAACTCAAGGCCGCAATAGGACTCCTTACGGGGCACTGCGGCTTTATATAGAAGACACCTAAATCTCTTAGGGATATCTGATGACTCCCTATGTAGAATATGTGAAGAGGAGGACGAAACTCCTATTCACATACTATGCCACTGTCGGAACCTTAAATGGGAACGGGAATGGTACTTCGGGGTACAATATCCGGAACCTGAAGAAATCGCGAAAGCGCCCATCAGACATATTCTTGAATTCATCAAGAAAATCAATCTGATGGGATAGAAACTGTGAGGGGTACAACAAGCCTAGAGCTTCAGTACAAGTGGGCTTTGAACCACGCTCTAATTCAGATAGATAGAAGGTGCCAGAGTGGGTACTATGAATTAATATGGGTTAAATACAATAGGTTTAGGTGTCCCATTTTCGCATAGAGCCTCGAAGAGGATTGAAAAGTACATCGATTTTAAATAGAATGAAGGGAAATTAACGAGTGGCTCCGCGGAATAACATAGAAAATTCGATTTTCTTTAACACAAATTAAAGGTATTTTTTTGGCCCATATTTTCTCGCCAGCTGTGTTCACTCTAAATAATTAACTAATAGAATAAGGCATCGTAAAAGCAAAGGCTTAAATGTTACAAGTGGATAAAGGGTTGAAATAAGGACGTTATCTTGTAATGAAAATCGAGATTTTAACCATTTTTTCCACACAAGTCCATCAAATGTAAAAAAATAACGTACATCGTCACTAGTATGAATGACCCGAATGGATAAGTGCATTTTGAGATCGGAAAATATTTCTATTAAGGAAAATGTTATCCCTTTTATTTTACTCAACATCAATGTACTTTTTAACCCTCTTCGAGGCTTGTATGAGAAAATGGGACACCTAAGTCGGTCACTATCTGACGGTCTATTAGGCCTCAGTGTTGCCAGAGACCAAGTCAGACGAACCCAGGAAAAAATAAAATAATATAATTCGGAAGAGTAATTCTTTTACTAGCTTCTAGCATTTTCTTTACGCAGATTACTGATTAAAAATGTATGTAGATTTAAAAGGTATCCCTATTTATAATCAGTAATAATGGTTTGATTTTCGATAAATAAAAATATGTATCTGTAATATTGATTATCAGTTGGTGATCTGGCAGGAATTAAGTACCCACAGATCGCGTGGCTCTGAGCACTAGCCCAGTATGACCAATGGAAAAAAGGAGTTTGAATTCTACAACAAAGCATGCAAATTAAAGGAACATGCACATATGCTGCTTGTGAATAGAAATAAGTACGAAAAAATTGTTTGTCTACAATTTATCTAAATACAATGGTTTAATGGAAGGCCTATATGGATTATTTTGTAATAGAAAAAAGAATGTTTGGAAATCGGAGCCGCTTGAATTTTTCAGCCTCAGAAGTATTTATAAAAGTTCTTGATTATTTTCTACACAAAAAACGACGTTTTCTGACACATTCTAAAAGTATCTGCAGTCTCTACTTGACAAATACTGTTACGTGGAATTGTGTTATTTATATTAATTCATTAATAATAAAAACATTTTTTTATTAATTTGTGTCCAATTGATTGGTATAATATGTAAAAGAGAATGATTAAATGTTAAAGGTATCTAGTACTTAAAAGAAAAAACAAATAGTGTTAAACAATATATTAATTTAAACTACTTATATCTTATCCTAAAAGAAAAATATAATTCTATAACAACATATATTTAAAATATACAAGTGGAATTAAATAAGAACAGTAATCACATAACTTTAGTTAACTTGAATATTGTTGCTTTTACATGCCACATGCTCCTCCAGGACAACCACCAACTGTGGGAGGGTTAATGTCCCCTAAGGTTCTAAATCTGCCTCCTCCACTTCCACCACTACCTCCTGGCCTGAAAGTTTTAAATATTTGATTAACTTTTTGTACTGAAAACCGATAATAGTTTTATAAAGGTATGTAAAATCAACACACAAAAAATAGTTTTATTTTATACAGGGTGTTCCCAACTTACTTGCGTGTCTATAACACAAATTGAAATATTAAACAATAATTACCCACTAATGGGTAATGTATATTTGAAATGTCCCTTAAGGACTAATATTTCTTCAAAAATTAAAATTTAATTTTCCATTAACAATATGGAAAAGGTCTATACCTATTTTATCTTCTAGTTTCAAATAAAATAATCTTTAGATACTACCCTATTTTTGCATAATCATGGCGAGTAATTCAAACACTATGTAGTTGTTCAGTCTATGATCAATTTATAATTTGTGGGTGGAACATATAAAATCTTTAACAGCAGTTACATCACTAAAGTTATGGGTCATCCTTTTAATAAATTGCTAAATTTTCACAGATTTTCCTATAACTGCAGTTAAAACTAAGAGTTGTATCAAAAATAACATCATGGATCTTCAATTTATTTCGATGATTGTATAATCAGATTTAGTAATAAATATTTTTTTATATATAAAATACTTTCAAAATTGAAGGGATTTTTAGTGTTTCCTTAATATTAACATGTTTTCATAAAATAAATGAATTTTATTTATTATTAATATGTTTTAAATATAGGAAAATATATCACATTTTAAAATATGATTGAATAGTTGTATAAAAATAATCATGGTTGAAAATTTTCAGTAACTTTTAACTAATTTAAATAAAATTATCTGTCCTTTCTAAGTTTTAAAGAAAGTGGTCACTCTGAAATATGTAAATGAAAGCATACTCTTTCAAATTATTTTTTTTTTCAATTGTATGTATCAATTGTATGTATGCATTTTGAAAGTTATTAAAATGACCATCTAGATTAATTGTACCCAATATCCAAACTTACCCAGGTCGTCCACTTCCCCAAGAACTACTGCCTCCACGACCTGTACTACCACCTCCACTACCTCTGAAGGAACTAGATTGGCCTGAAGAATTTGAACTTTGAGAATTCATTTCAATGGGAATCAATGTAATGAAACTAAAATAAGATATAATGTTTTATAAGCAACACAATTATTTATTAAGGGCCGATTCCACTGTTGTGTTAAATGGAGATTAAAATGACATTGTTAATGTAAAAATGTAATTTTAAACTTTGTTTAACACAACGGTGGAATAGGTCTTTAGGCTGTTAAATTATAGTCATTCCAGACTTAAAATTAAGAGACAATGCAAAATGAAACCAGTTTTACGAGTCAAGCACCAAAAAAGAAACTTATTTTCTATTCACTTACAAATGCATAAAGAAGTTAACAACATTATCAAAAAATTTGGATATCCGTTTAGTGAATGGAGGATTTTCTTGAACTTGTCCACCTAAAAAAATTATTGCAGTAAATTGAAGATTCTAGAAAATGAAGATTCTAGAAAATGATTATTCTCGAAATAAGATAATTTAAAAATATCTTACATACATACCTGTTACATATGCCATATTTACTATACAAGAATTAAAATATAACTTGCTGACAAAATTCTAATTAACCAACAATAATAAGGCTAATAACAACTGTAAAATTTATATTTCACCTTCCTATTTCCTGAGATAAATAAAAAATGATGTCCCTGAAAAATAAAAACACGTCATTATATTATTATTTTTATGTCACTATCGACTGTCAGTGTCATTTGTCAGAATGAAGATGGCTTGTTCCGATTTTAACCGGATATTTAAGTTACTGTGTTCATTTTACTATTTGTGAAACAAAACATGCAAACATGCTTCTGACCGTAAATAAGTAACTGCAAAACATTTTTGGAGACATTCACGACACGTGACTTTACTGAAATAAAATCTAAAATTATGAAGACCCGGGAAAAACGAAAGGGAAAACCAGTGGGACGAACGAAAGAACCTACGGTGTGTGAATTGAATGAATAGAAAAAGCGCATTTTTCGTTACGTTTACATATACCAATTATTCCTGTGAGAATTACATAATTAGTAATTATTTTTAATTACATATTAGGTATTTTCCTTTGCATCGAAAGTGTAGCACTGAGATACGTCACTTCTGAAAATATCGTTCTATCCATACATATTGTATAAATGGAACGATATTTTCAGAAGTGGTGTAGCTCAGTGCTACACTTTCGATGCAAAGGAAATGACCTATTCTGCTCTACTAGAGGCGAGTTCGCATAGTCAGGAGCTGGACCGGGACAAAAGCGGAGTTTTTTAGGGTGCTTTTATATGACATTTAAGCATGTTAAACTGTCACTAATTGGACTAAACAGAACGCTAAGGCCCGTATTTATAAACACAACTCAGCTGAGTCGGACTTGGTTAAGTCGTCCTTGAACGAAAATCGAAGTTCGGTTATATCGCGTGAATTTAGAGATGGGTAGTAACAAATCTGTAAATGAACATAACAGTTACAGATTTGCTAATAGCCATCTCTAAATTCCAGTGGAACACCGGAACCACCTCGAACTATAGAGACGTTATAACCGAACTTCGATTTTGGTTCAAGGACGACTTACCCAAGTCCGACTCACGTAAGTTCTGTTTATAAATACGGGCCCTAAAAGGGTCGTTTGGAGTTAAAAGTGTCAAAGGAGTTAAAGGAACTTGGCAGACCGAACGCAATGTAGAATATTTTAAAAGAACGTACATATCATGCGTCAACCGTCAACTGCCGGATCTCGGAAGTGTCAGCCATTTTCGTGTTCCATGTTTTCATTCTTTTTGTGATTTTTCTGACACCACGAGAAACACGTTATTAATTTTAACTAAAAGCCAAGGTAAATTATGAATTATTATAAGTAATTTGTCTTTAAGATCTTCTAACTATACCTCTAGTTACTCTCGTAATTCAGTTTATTAATTAATTATCTTTCTATTTGTAGCATGGCTCCACGGTATGAGATAGCCATTGGTCTCCAAAGAGGACACAAGACCACGAAAATTTCCGAGAAATCTAAATTGAACAAAATTCGTCCCGCCAGGTTGAAGGGGATCCAAACTAAACACACCAAATTCGTTAGAGATTTGATTCGTGAAGTAGTAGGACATGCTCCCTATGAGAAGAGAGCCATGGAATTGTTGAAGGTTTCTAAGGATAAGAGGGCACTCAAATTCTTGAAACGCCGTCTTGGTACACACATCAGGGCCAAGAGGAAGCGTGAAGAATTGTCAAACATCCTTACACAAATGCGTAAACAACAAGCTACACATAAGTAGATTTTTGTATGACTAAGTAAGAAATAAAAACTATTGTTAAATTTCTGTTTTTATGATCCCAATAGATGTGTGCTCATTTAAAAAACAGGCTTAATATTCCTATAATCTTGATCACTGTGTGTAGGAAGTACATCTCTGTATTAAATGAGCTTATAGAATGTTCACTTAAAATCATCAGGGAATCTTTGGCCAGCCCCACCTGTGTAATGGGTTATCTGAGGCATGTCCTGACTTTACCTCGAATGATTGGGGTTCTACTGTATATGAAAAACTACTTGAAGGTGTAGGTTTATTTTCAAGAGCTCAAATTATTTTATAGGTTTACCAGATAAGTAATTAAAAGTTTCTTACAAAATTATCCTAAAACTAAATCTAATATAAGTCCAACAATTTTAATGAATTAAATTATTTGAACAATTTAACAAGGTACATAACTTTCTGGAGCTGACTATTCTATTAAGAGTGACGACTTTCGAAGATGTTTAAATAAAAAATTTGATTTGAAGTGTTTAGGGATAAAAAATGAAAAATCTCATTGTAAAAATATTTTATTCACATAAATTTCAATATAAAAATTATAAGCCTCCAAGACTATTAATAATATTATCAGCATCATCAACTACTGCTTCATCCCATGGTCCATAAATAGTTTCTTTATGTTTCTGCAAGCGAACATATAAGACTGGACAAATTACACTTATCAAAAATACCGTACATAAATACAAAATTGTAGCTAATTTACTAATATAAATTAAAAAATAAATATCTATTATGAAATAAATCCATACAAAATAAACAGGATTCTTCATAGAGCTCCATAGAATTGGAAAGAGAACAAACATTTTGATAGCAGCAGTCATCAATATAAAAGCATCTAGCGGAGTTGAAAGTCTAGATGCTAGACAGATTGAGGCAAAAATTGCAGTACTAAGAGATACACTATTAGATACTATAGCTGCACCAACACCATAATCAAAGAATATCATATGGACTAGCATCATTAAAAAGGTTGTAGTGTAAATTGTATCAGTGCTTACAGTATCGGTAAGGGTATGTAGCACAGGAGAAAACAATCTACCAACTACTACAAATGTTATTACAGTTCTGAGATCATTTCCCAACTTAATTTTAACATTTTCACTAAATGTAATTAAGTAATAAAAAAAGCCGATAACTGTTACAATACTTGTGCAACTCAGAAGTGTGGAAGGTTCTACCCACTCGTTTAGTAGGTAAAAATATATTAGAACGAACGTCACTATGTTACAAAATTCTTGTAATACCAATAAAGAACCCAAAAATGATTCTAAAAAGGTTACTTCCTTAAAGTCAATGTTTTTTCTTAGGTCTTGTAAAAATATGTTTTTATCGGTGTAATTATCAGGGTATGGTTGTTTTTCATATAATATTTTCTTCCAGGGTTTTTGTATATCCATTTTTACATCTCTCTACCACATTTATACATAGGTACTTTAATTAGTTTAATTTTTATCTATTTTTAAAAATTACAAAAAAATAGGTTATATTAAGAAGAAAATTTATAGAGATGTTGCTTCTTCTGTATTTTCTCATAACTGGCCTCACACTTTTGTTGTATTTAGCCAACACGGTGAAAGTTCTTTCACATTCTTTCTGTGCTGTAACTTCGAAGTAAAAGGTGAAAAAGCACCCCATCATGAGACACAGGGCTCCTGGCTGAATTTTCAGAGGGAGCCATTGCTATTCCCTTACTTTCCTGATACAGATAAGTTGAAATAATTTTTTTCGATGTTTTGGAGTTCCCTTGATCCGTTTTGACTATTTTCGCGATGTGTCTCTGTATACATGGATATAACTCATGAACGGATAAACAGAAAAACACCAAATGTTAAACTTAGGGTGAGATTACAGAACGTCTGCAACTTTGCAGATCTGTAAATATGGCGACAATTTTGCAGATTTGCAAATATGGCGGACTTACAGATGCAAGTTTTCGTATTCCAAATTTCCAAAAAATATCTGCAAATTCGCAATATTTATTGTGGTTTATTACCCCCAACAACACTAAATCCAAATCCACCCTTAAGAAGGTTAACATCCTACAATCATGAAGTCTTCTGTTTCTTTTGATTGAATACAATTCGTGGTGTCAGATTATCGAGTTTTTAAACATAGTAATTGATTTGGGTTTAGTGTTGTTGGGGGTAATAAACCACAATAAATATTGCGAATTTGCAGATCGTTTTTGGAATACGAAAACTTGATACTTGCATATGTACCTAAGTCCGCCATATTTGCAGATCTGCAAAGTTGCCGCCATATTTGCAGACGTTCTGTAATCTCGCCCTTAAGCATTAATGCAGCCTGCGGTGAGCAGATTAGATTTTGGGCACAGTCGAAACATCTGGGGGGTACTTTTTAGGTGGTCTTTTTTCTACTTTATGGAATATATGTTACTTTACGAGAAGAAAATTCTTCAAATAAAAGTTGCAAGTAATGTTATTCTCTATAATTTTTAAACTATACTTAATTTCTCTATTAGAGAAGTTTGACACAATAGTGTAAAATTCGAATTTTTGAGAAAATTGTTCAAATAAAAGTTGTTTGCAATGTCATTCTCTATACCTAGTTCTTGTCGTATACATGATTTTTCTAAAACGAATCGTAATCGAGATATTTGAGAAAAGGTGCAATTTTGAAGAAAACTTAAAAACGGATAAAGAGAAAAACAAAATTTTGAATTTAAGCTGGATTAAATTTTGGGCATAGTCGAAGCTACATCTGGGGCGGGGGGCATAGCCTTTTTGTGTCACAAGTTATTTATTAGTAACGGCACATAGCTTATTATGGATGAGTTTTGATAATTAGAGTATAAAAAGTAACTATAATTTTTATTTATTCCCCCCTGCGGAGATACGGGCTCATAATGGACGCCTCTGGAAATTCTTTTTTTTTTTTTAAATAAGTACTTGGCGTAATTTAATAATTTTTTAATATGATGGATACTAGATAAGTCTCCTTAAAAAAGACTCTTAGGGCCGATTCCACCGTTGTGTTAAACGGAGATTAAAATGACATTGTTAATGTATAAATGTAATTTTAAACTTCGTTTAACACAACGGTGGAATCGGTCCTTAAACATATTAGACATTTAGTTTGGCAGGTACGGACTAGCTTTAACACAATAATGCTATTTTTACAGCCTGTAGGATAAAGGTAGGTACTACTGCCGAGTTCAATTCCAGCCTGGAGGTTTGTTCGGGTTCTTCAAAAATACGTTGAGAACTATCACAGGACTAGCTGACCAGTGGACACTTTAAAAGTTGTATGCGATGAATAATTTGGTATTCAACTTTTCCACTGGATCTCAGATGGTTTGCAGTGAATTTTAAAGAAACCTGAACAAACCTATAGTGTTAATAACATTGATATAAATAATATAGGATAAGGATGCCTACATTGCCTACTCTAAGCTCCTAATATTCGAAACCGATAAAGAGGATATCAGTCCTATCTTGTTTTGTGTAAACTGCAGGAAAAATATAAAAGGAGGCTTATAAAATTTAGTAACAAATCTTAAAGAAACATTTTAGTGAAAAACAACTAACCTTTGTGGAGGCAATTTAACAAAGATTGTCCTAACTCAATAAACGATTTATAGCTAAAAATAAAATACATAAATAGAATCTGATTACAATAAGAACACAACTACATCATAACCATTACTATCAATAAACAAAGAATAAGTAGTTAGGTATAAAAAAAAAATTTTTCTATCTTCCTAGATTAACACTCCATTAATTCCCCAATAGCCATGTAATTACTTCGCCAAATGATAACAGCTGTTTTCTTCTTATTGTAATCAGACCCTATATGTGATAATACAAAAGTATTAAATTTATTATAAATGCATAGAAAAAAATAAATATCTATACAAAGTATCAAGAAGTTAAGTATATCATACTTAGGTAATCACAGAAGATAAATTAATTTGTAAATTATTTAAATAGGTATACAACCTATATAGTAATTTGGAATGCAATATAGAAAACTGTTATTGTATTTGTACCTACTTCGAATGTAGGTTTAATTAAGTTCATTTAATGATTATCATTCCAAAGAACATAAAGCATGTAAAGTACAAATACAATAAATACCAATGCTACAGATATCACAAATGTTTGTCTATTATGTGTCCTTAAATGTGCCAGTTGTCCTTCATGTGTTTTTAGTAATTTTTTAACTTCATTTAGTTCTTGTTTAATAATGCTTTTCTTATTATCAGGAATAGCTTCACTATTTAATTTTTGTTTCAGTGCATGTACTCTTTCCAATGTACTATTTATGGCCTCTTCTGCTTTCTTTATCTAAAAATAAAACATATGTTATTAAAAGCGAAAATGAAATAATATATTTTATTTATTGCCTCATCCATCACAGAAATATTTTTTGATTCCATATTTATTCATTAACTATTTGCACTATTTGGAATATTGGAATATTAAAAATAAGATAAAAATCTGCAATCTGCATCAAAAATTCCACATGCATTTAAAATAAAACAGAAGAAGAAAACGAAGAAATAAGGTTATGTTTGAATTCTTTCTAAAGAAGAGACGCCGCTCAAACGTTATTTATTCATTCATTATTTAATTATTTGTATTAAATAAAATTTCAAAATGAAACTCGTAAGGCAAGTGTATATTTTGAACTAAAATCTACTGATTAATTTATTTTCAAGCTATATATTTAAAACATATATGTTATTAAACTTAACCTAACCCTAATTGTGTTTTTTAGATTTCTGATGAAGTTAAGTCACGAAACGGTGACTATGGAACTTAAAAATGGCACACAAGTTCATGGTACAATCACCGGTGTAGATGTAGCAATGAATACTCATTTAAAAGCTGTAAAAGTAACAGTAAAAAACCGGAATCCTGTAACTTTAGATACCTTAACAGTAAGAGGTAACAATATCAGATATTACATTCTGCCAGACAGTCTTCCTTTAGAAACTCTCCTAATTGATGATACACCAAAAGCTAAAGCCAAAAAGAAGG